ATCAGTGGTCTCAAGTGTGGCAACAGTAGTGAGGTTGGCCCTGGACTGGGCAGTGTTTCATTATGCTGTGCATAAGGTCGGTATGGGTCGGTACCGAGTCAGCTTAACAACAACATCAACAACATGATAATGCAAAGATTTTAATTTCTTATAATTATTTCATGTGTATTTTAGTTTCATGGAAGTTATTCTCAGTTCCTCATTCTTAAGAACTAGTGTTTTAAATGATTTCGCTCTTTCTGTGAACTGAAACAGCAAGGTAGAAATGCAGCGTGAGGTGAGAAGACGGCCCGTGTTACCTCTTCAGTGCAGCTTCAGATGCTCCTTTTAAAGTCTCCTCACTGGAAACAGTACCTCAATGTTACTGGACTAACATGACCAGTGTTGTATTACTTTAAAGACTACTGTGAAAGGAGAGTTCTAGAAATCTTACATGTCATGCAATTAAAAGCTGCTGTAAGAATACTAGCTTGGAATGTGTGATGTTCTGAACTGCACCCTTACTCGCGCTGTTCTGATCAAGTTAGGGGATCTCAGTCCTCGCTTTACAAGCTTCATCATCATCTCTGCGCCGTCGGTGAAGTCCACTTCTAGGGATTCTGACCCAGCCTGTGTCATTATTCAGAAATCCTGCTGCCGCTTTTAATGGCCTGTCCGTCACAAGAAGGAAGCCCTGGTGACGTCGTGGACTGCAGTTCGAATCTACCAGCCGCTCCACCAGAGAAAGAGGAGGCTTTCTGCTCCCATAAAGATTTACAGCCTCAGAAACCCTCTACAGGGTCACTGAGTCGGAACCAACTCCACGGCACATCCCCACCGCCATAGATCGCAACAAGGATTACCACCAGCACATTTCCAGCTCTCTAAAGTTGTTGTTGAGTGGCCGAATGGGTTCCCTATGAGAAAACACAGAGACAAGTTTCTGTTAGGTTACATGTGAAATAAGTAAATGTTTCCTAAGGAATAACGACAAAAATACAAGTTCACAAACGATTGTAAAGAGCAGTAATAATACTCTTTAAATTTTTGGAAGTCTGTCGTGGTATAATCAACAGTGGAAGGTCAGCTTTGTTTGCGGTATTTACTATTAAATGTCAGTTGTTTTTTCTTGCTATCATAAAGAAGTGGAGGTTACTGGTTTTTGAAGTGTTGCAATCTGTGATGTTTGAATGAAAGTTCCCATAATGTAAGTCACCCTCTTTACGCTTCTGAGTCCTAAGAAATTCGCTAGACAAAAAAGAATCTAAATTTAGTCTTTGATGTCTTGTCATTTAATTTTTGTTTCTCTTTTGGATTTTTAAAGCAATGGCATTCCCCTTTTTTGTGCTTTTCTGATTACTGATTAGATAACTGATATGGCAGTTGATTTTCCATATTAATATTAATGTAAATATTAATATTTTCCAGCTGATTACCTGGCGCAGGCATTTGATTCTCTTTGCTTGGACCTGAAGACAGATGAAGGGAAAGCCTTGTTTTTGGATTATCAGGCTATTCCCGTCGTGTTGGGTCACCTCAGAATATCCAGTAAAGGACTCCTCTCCAACGCCATCGACACACTGCTTCAGATGACAGTGGAATCTAGTAAGTTTTAAACAAAAAACTCAAAGTGAGGCCATTTTTTTCCATTCTCGCCTGTTTTGAATACTTGTCTGTGGCTCTCTATGTAAGGTACAGTTGCATTTTATAACAGAAATGCTTGCATGCTTTTTGAGAATTTTCGCTGTGACTTGAGTAAAGGTTTGCAGAGCAAAGCATCAGTTTTACATTCAGAAAACCATGCACTGTTTCATGTCCATGATCACAGTCCCCTCCGTATACCATCAGTTAGCAGTGTTGACCTCTCTTCACCTTGACTCCTTCCCGTGTCTCCTGCTAACTTCCTCTGCCAGCCTCCCCCTGGCTGTATACTGCCCTCCCAGTCACCACGTTAACGTGGGTCCACCCTCTAGTCTGTGAATAATTTTCCCTTCCTTCCCATCCGTGGTAACCATCACAAAATGTGTCTTTTATCTACAAAAAATACTTTTCTTCTGACATCATTGGTCTCATAAAATATTTATCCTTTTTTGACTGACTAATTTCAGCACAGTGTCCTCAAGGTTCATCCACGTAGTGAGGTGTTTTGCAGGTTTATTGGTATTCTTCCTGTGTTTCTAGAAATTTGTCCATTTCTTGTAGATTTTCAAGTTTTCTGGAGTACAGTTCTTTGTAATAGTTTGTTATTTTCCTTTTATTTCTGTTGGCTCTCTGTGATATCACCCGTATCGTCTTCGTTGTGTTATTTGTATCTTCTCTTTCTTTTCTTCTCTTACATTTGCCCATGGTTTGTCGATTTTTAAAATCCTTTTGAAGACTCAACTTCCTGTCTTGGTGATTCTTTCTTTTGTTTTTGTTTTCTGTTTCATTTATTTCTGCTCTTAACTTTGCTGTTTGTTTATTTTTCCCTGATCGTTGGAGATGTTGGCTGTGTTACTATAAACTGCCCTGTTAGTACTGCGTTTGCTGTGTCCCAAAGGTTCTAGCATGTTGTGTTTTCATTCTTGTATGATTCTCGGAATTTTTTTCATTTTTCTTTTTCTTCAATTACCCAGTGGCTTTTAAGCAGGTATTATTCAGTTTCCATGTATTTGACTTTTATTCCTTAATCTTCTTGTTGATTTCTAATTTTTAGCATTGTGATCTGAGAAGATGCTTTATTATATATATATATATATTTTAATTAATTGAGGTTTGCTTTGTGGCCTAGCATATGGTCTATTCTGGAGAATGTTCCTTGTGCACTGGAGAAGAATGTGTCTTGTGCTGTTGTTGGATTAAATGTTCTGGAAACATCTGTGAGGTCCAGGTGTTTGTTCGTGTTGTTTAGTTCCTCTGTGACTCTGTTGAGTTACTTTTTAGTCATGTCCTTCATCAAAAGTGCTGTATTAAAGTCTCCTGCTATTATTGTGGTGGTAATTATGAGCCGTGGAGTCGGTTCTGACTCTTAGTGACCCTGCTGCATAGGGTTTCCGAGGCTGTAAATCTTTACGGGAGCAGAAAGCCTCATCTTTCTCCAGCGGAACAGCTGGTAGTTTCGAACTATGGACCTTGAGGTTAGCAGCCTGACTTGTAACCACTACACTACCAGAGCTTCTTTAGAGTTGTGTGCTTTATTCTTCAGTTCTATTAAGAGTTTGATTTCTGTATTTTGAAACACTTTCACGGTTGTTGTTGTTAGGTGCCATCGAGTTGGTACCGACTCATAGCACGACATTATGCACAGCAGAATGAAACACTGCCCGATCCTGGGCCAACCTCACTACTGTTGCCATGCTTGAGTCCATCGATGCTGCCACTAGGCCAGTCCATCCCGTTGGGGGGTGGGGGGGTCATCCTTTTTTTCGCTGACCCTCCACCCTACCAAACATGATATCCTTCTCCAGCAACTGGTCCTTCCTGACAATATGTCCGAAGTATGAGAGATGAAGTTTGGTCATCTTGGCCTCCAAGGAGCACTCTGGCTGCACTTTTTCCAACAGAGGTCTGTTGGTTCTTTTGACAGCCCATGGCACTTTCAATATTCTTCTCCAACACCATAACTCAAAAGCATCAATTCTTCTACAATCTTCCTTATTCACTGTCCAGCTTTCGCATACATATGAGGTTATTGAAAATACCATTACTTGGGTCAGGCGCACCTTAGTCCTCAAGCTGACATCTTTGCTCTCCAACATTTTAAAAAGGTCTTGTGCAGCAGATTGGCCTAATGCAATACATCCTTTGATTTTCTGACTGCTGCTTCATTAGGAGAATAGATACTTGTTACAATAATATCCTCTTGTTCAATTGACCCCTGAATTCTGATATAATGTCCTTCTTTGTCTCTTAAGCTGGATTTTGCCTGAAAGCCTCTTTTATCAGAGATTAAAATGGCCTCCCCTCATTTTTCACTGCCGTTAGCTTGGTGTATATTTTTTCCTCCTTTAGATTTTTAGTCTCCTTTTTGTGTCTCTTGTAGACAGCATATTGAAGGGTTCTTTCTGGGTTTGTATCCATTCTGCTAGTCTGTGTCTCTTGACTGGTGCGTTGAATCCCTCTGCATTCGTGTCATTATCGATGGCTATTAATTGGTTGCTGTCATTTTGCTGGTTTTTTTGCGATACTGCTGGTTTCTTGGTTCCACGTTATTTTCTGTGCTGAGTTCAGTTTTATTGGAGTTTTCTTTTACTTTTCATTTCTGTTGTATTAATGTTTACTAAATCTTGCTGCTCTCCCTCTTTTGTATTTTGATGTGAAGGTTGTATGTTAATATATCCTTCTTTGAGGTTACCCTGTAATTTATTTTTCCTTTCCTCTTTTAAAGCAATCTGTTTTATCTTGAAGTCGACTTGACTTCCTCAACCACTTGGAAGTGCTGACCTTGCAGTTAGCAGCTCAATCCGTAGCCCTCTGTGCCAGCTGGGCTCCTACAGGCATGTATGTTGTTGTTGGAAGGTGCCGTCGAGTTGGTTCTGACTCAGTGATCCTGTATGGTGTTTCTGAGGAGTGGTTGGTGGACTTGAATCATCAACATTGTGGTTAGCAGTCCAGTGCTTATCGTAAACTGCCACACCAGGACTCCATAAATACGTGCTGTCGTTAAGTGCTGTTGAGTCTGTTCTGACTCATAGCAAAACCCGTATAGGGTTACTGGTCTTAAAGGTCCAGTTCTTATCGTACAGTGCCACCCCAGGACTTCTGCACGTGTGCAGAGGGTAGTTTAATATATATGTTTTCATTTGCTTTAGTTTGCATTGTTTTTTGGACCTCAAGCTTGACTTTTTTATTTCAATAATTCTTTTTCATTTGTGATCGTTCTACCTTTTTACCTATTCCTCTTCCCTTCCCAGCGTTTATAAATATAAAGCAAGGTGTCATTAAATGGAAACTCATGGTGGTAGTCAGCACCCTGGGTCAGCACCCTGGGTCACTCGGTGCCCCTTGTGGGTCAGTCCTTAATGACCGTGTCCAAAGTCTGCTTCTTGTTGTGCTTTGGTGCCATCCAGTCAGCTCGAGCCCAACAGAAGGAAACCCTGCCTGGTCCTGTGGCGTCCTCACAACTGTCATCATGAACCCATTGCTTCTGCCACAGGGCCACGTCACCTCGTTAGGGGGCTTCCTCTTTTTCACTGACCTTCCACTTGGTCAGTGTTCTGACCAATATTTAACAGTGTTTCACCACTACCTAACAGGTTTTCAGTGACTAAATAGTCCAGCGTAGTCTGCCTTTCCTTCCCAGTCTGTCTTAGTCTGAAACCTGTCCACCATGGGTGATTTAATGTACAGTGACATAGCCTCCAGCTTCTCAGCAACACACCAGCCAGCACAGTGTGACAGACTGACAGACACGTGGTAGTCAGTGTGCGTAAGCTTTCTGACTACACCTACGGCTCCCTGATTGGCAACATTGTCAACCTGACATTCTGCAACTGTTGCAATAGTCAGAAACCAACTCTCTGACTCTTTTGCACGTGAATGACATCCGCCTGGCAGTAACTGATGCCGAAGTGTGAGTCTAGAGCATTCTATGCTGTGATGACACCGATGAGGTGTCACTTTATCTGGACTGTGATTCTCAGTGGTTTGACAGTTCTGTAATAATATCATCATCGTCGACTCTGTGATCTGATATAGTAACCCTCAGTTTCCTCATTGACACTGCTTATTTATCACACTGTGACCTGGTCTTTGGAACTTAACCTTGTTGATAAGTGAAGAATGGGTGCAGTTATTTTTGGGTGTATGGTGTTGTACTTTCAATTCACTTTCATCGATAACCTTAATTTTCCTTTATATCATCCCTGCAAAAAAGAGGCCTGCTGGGAAACTGAGACTTAGAAACAGTAAGTAACTTCTCAGCTAAGTAGAAGTAAAACAGAGACTAGGAGCGAAGTCGTGACTCTAGATATAAAAACTCATTTTACCTTATCAAGTGATGAGTTTTCTAGTTGTTTTCTTTCTGCAACTCTAAATTGTTAACTGTTACGATGAAATCTCTTTGACGTATTTTGTGACTATTTTTTAGCAATTTGTAACTGCTGCGGCATTGAATTTCTGGTTTCCCAGATAACTGTTCCTGAGGTTTACTGATATAAGAAAAGTGAACTTTGTAAACTGAGGCATAGAGAACCAATATTATTGCTTAAATGGCTACGTTTCCAACCTCTTGTACAGGATTTTTTTAATATATATAAATAGAAAACGCAAATCCTGCCTGACTGTTCATCAGAAACAAGCTTGTCTGAGTATATCTAGCATAAGTGAAATCTTTATCCTTGTATTCAAAGGAAGACTAAATAGTTTTTAGAAAATACAGACCTACTTGGGTGAAATAACGCCATGACCCTCTACAAGTCCCATTTGCAGAAAGATCTCGTGTTAGGTGGTCAACAGGTTTCTAGTCCATTCACATTGGATTATCTCTGTTAGGTTACTCTCAACTCCTAAGCTAAAATTAAATAAAGACATTCCTCAGTGGTGCAGATAGTTTATACATTCCGCTGCTAATTGAAAGGTTAAAGGTCACAACTACCCAAAGATGCCTCAGAAGAAAGACCTGGCAA